TTGGAAATGGGGCCCGCCCCTCCAGCAGGGAAAGAGCAAGTTCCCTCTTCTCCAGATGACCTGTCCCAGGGACGCTTCGCGGTCCATATACAGAACTTAGCGGCGCTCTGGGCTGGAGGGGTGTGGGGGCAGGCCAGCTTGGGATATGGGGGAGTCAAGAAAGTGGACTTTGTCGACTTTGCACATACCAGCCAAGTTTAGCCAGAGGTGGCGCTCCTGGACCACTAATGTGAACATCGTCCTTCTCAACGCACACGCTGCAACTTAGTGGTCCGAAGAGAATAGTTGGTTGCGGTGCAAAGCTCATGTAACAAGCCTGGGTTGGACCCACCCTCGTGCAGCTCGGCCAGCGCCTGCGCTTAGTAGCGCTGTTGGGTGGCTATCGTGTGCAAGGCTGAAGCAGCCTGGCCCACAGCCTTGTAAGCTCTAGTTCCGAGGGAGGCAAATAACTTACAGGCTTTGGACGGGAGACGAGGTGGACCCCGCCAAGAAGAGGCACCACACGGTCAAAGATTGACTGCAATTGCGCACTCGACCTGAGGAATCGCCACATACCCCCTGGCCGCTCCACTGTCAAGAGTGGTGAGGGCGGAGGGACACGGGCATATAAAAGTGCCCTCCAAGACTGCGTGAGCCTACTGTGCACCTCCGGGAAGAAGGGGACGATAGGCTTCAAAGGCTTAGCCCTCTGGTCCTCTACATAGCACCCATCTAGTCGGTCCGGCCGCGGAGCTGGAGGATTAACCATCTCCAACCCAACGGGCAAAGCAGCCCGGGAAAGCAAGGCTAACATGTCCGTTTCAGAATCCGTTTTGACAGCGCTCACCTGCCCGAAGGGGGCAAGCGGGCCTGGTTTCTCGTAGGACAATGAAAGCCCCCCCTTCGATGCAGCTGTGGATGTCTGGTCCCCGGTGTCATCGAACATAAGGGCTACGTTTAGACGGATCGCTTCCTCCGCTCGAAGCTTAGATGGAGCGCTTGGAGGAGCGGGAGGTCCGTGGGCCCGGAGGCAACGGATTATCTCCCACTTGAACCCTCAGATCTGCCCGAGTGCCCACTGCAGTGCAAGGGACAGCTGGGGTGTTTTGCCCTTTTGCAAAGGCTAGCCGCGATCTTAACTGCGCAACAGTCATTGCATCGCAATGATGACGTGAACTGCCCGCGCATTAACATGCATTAACATGCTGGACCCCCAGACAAGCAACGCAGTGCTCGTGCCCATCATCCAGGGACAGGAAACCATCGCATCCAGAAACGCACGGTCGGAGCGCCATCCTGAAAAGGACGTGCTGCACGACTGTGTTGCTCTTTTTGTGAAATTGCAACTTTATAGGCACCACTCTGGAGGACCGGACCCAAAGAACGCCAGGCAAGGGAGAACCCATCTCGACCATCTGCCGCTGCGTGTACACACTCTGGACCGGGAGACTGCTCTTGTTCACTCGAAATCGCTGAATCACAGCAGGAGAAACCCTCATCGACTCTCTCAGAAGGCTGTAATCTCAGGCCACCTGTCATTCACTGCGGGACTCGTGAATAGGCAGTGATCTGTGTCATTATAATGGCGTCAGTATAAAAGGTGCACAACCAACAGGAACCAGCCAACAGTATCTGAGGTGTTCGCTAAAATGACTAAGTACAAGTGAGTGAAAGATTGAAGCTGTCTACTGAACCTCTGACTGCCTGGACCTGCTGTCTCGAGCGCATGGCTGTGTGTGCCTCTGTGTGTGTGTGTGGTCACGTGATGTGCGTTTTCAGAGGTAGTGAGGAAGGAGGGCTGCTCAGAAATGCCACATGCCACTGTGGATGTCAAATCGTTGTTGTTCTAAAATGCCATTTAAAAACAAAGACATGTTAGTGTAAACACGGCCTGAGTGTGTACTTTTCCAAGCGGATTTGCAATGGGGGCGGGGCGGAGGATTGCGATGCCGGTGTTGTCTATCGGTCGAACCCTAATACGTACATAGCAGAGCTTGCAAACTGTTTTTTTTTTTTTTTTTTTTGTCAACAACACGAACGTTGTCAACATAACTCACTTGAAATCCAAAATGCTTCCACAACGGTGACTTCATTGAAAGAGGAGAGAGTTTAAGCTCTGTCGACGGGTCTCCTGCTTCTGCAGTTTACAGTTTTTTTACAATGGCTATGACACTTTTTTCAATACATTTAACAAGTTTCCTAAACTCTTAACACGGTTAGCACAACATCCGTTTTCATAGGCTATACAATTAACACATTTCTTGTTGCTTTGACACAAAATGCATCCAGTTAACGACAATTTAAAATGCTTGAACTTCGTTTACACACAAACTTAACCAAAACAATGTAATTTTACAGTCCAATTTACCAATGCTTTCACACAGTATGTCAGAAAAGATAACATCATGCGCTAAACATAACGTATATATGCTATATAGGTTCTATATAACAATTGTAACACAAATTTTAGAACATACAGTATGATCATGTGATTTGATAAACCTCAACACATGAGTGTGGTTTCTAGATGTGAATCAGCTGTATATATATCACAGCTGATTCCCATCTAGAAACCACACTCATGTGTTGAGGTTTATCAAATCACATGATCATAATCACAATCTGGTGTCATCCGCGGCTGAAATCGCTGCACGCCATTCACATTTCAAGCTAGCTCAACCGTGCAGCCGATGCGCTCTCACGGCATCCTTTACGTCCCAGAGAATGGAGACTCCACCCCGAGTCTGTTCAGCTGATATGGGCGCGATTCGGGGATCGATCTGTTTGCTTCCCCCGAGAACGCTCATTGCCAGTTGTTCTTTTCCCTGACCGAGGGCTCTCTCGGCACGGATGCACTGGCCCACAGCTGGCCTCAGGCCATGCGTAAATATGCGTTTCCCCCAGTGAGGCTGCTCGCGCAGTTACTGTGCAAGGTCAGGGAGGATGAGGAACAGGTTTTGCTGGTTGCGCCCCTCTGGCCCAACGGGACCTGGATGTCAGAGCTCTCCCTCCTCGCGACGGCCCTCCCCTGGCAGATCCCTTTGAGAGAGGACCTACTCTTTCAGGCACAGGGCACCATCTGGCACCCTCGCCCCGATCTTTGGAACCTCCACGTGTGGTCCTTAGACACGAGAAAGACTTAGGTAACCTACCGATCTCGGTGGCATACCCTGATCATCCGTTTCCTCAGTGGCGCTAGGCGAATTAATCCAACCGGCCCTCTCTCATGCCCTCTTGGGATCTCACCATCATTCTCACTAGCCTGCGCAAAGATCCCTTTGAGCCACTTGACTTAGTATCTTTTAAGATTTCTGTCCTGAAGACAGCTCTGCTGGTCACGTTGGCATCTATTAAGAGGGTCGGGGACCTGGAGGCATTTTCGGTCAGTGACTCCTTTTCTTACTTTGTCCAGTTTGCGCTTTGCATATTTATCTGGACCATACTCAGAGCTTTAGATCATCTGAGCAGCTCTTCGTCTGTTATGGCGGTCGGCAGCAGGGAAGTGCCGAAACAGAGGTTGGCCCACTGGATAGTGGATGCCATCTCCCTCGCTTATCAGAGCCACTCGGAGCATCGCATCCTCTTGAGCGTGTGCACGCGGTGCCTCTCTAACAGACATCTGTAGAGTTGGGGGCTAGGCGACACCTAATACATTTGCAAGGTTTTACAATTTGCGAGTGGAGCCAGTTTCCTCAAGAGTATTAGGTAACCCTTGGTGATTGAGGAAACAACTCGGTTAAGGTGTTGAAACACGCTTGCTGCGCCATTCTCCCTAACACAGAGATACATGTGCTTTTTCATCTGTCAGTAAAGTTCCCCATACTTTTCTCAATGTACTGTCGTATTTTCCTAGAATTATCTACACACTTGCGGCTCCCAAAAAATATATCTAAATCCGTAAAACTTCTTTGAAGTGGGATAAGTAAGGGCCAGGGATCACGTTAGAAGACCGCACCTCTCTTTGATGCAGGAGCGCTCACGCTATGCCTGGCTATCCTCTCATTGGGGGCGAAGGTAAGGTGCAGTCATTGTGGCGTTTTCCAGACATTTCCCCATTTCGTGGATTAAAATCCACTAATAGCATTGAAGTTCCCATCCGAAGGGGAACGCTCTGTTTACTAAAGTAACCCTCGTTCCCCGAGGAGGGAAATGGAAATGCTATATAGTATCGCCATAACGGTTGTTCCTTAGCTGTAAGTGTCAGTCTCTGAAGCGAAAAGGATAGCGTTTCCTTGCTTTCCATGTGCTTATATGTGGAGCTAATTGACAATAAGCTCCAGGTGCGCAAGCTTACGCTGCCAACTCATTTGGCATTTCATTGGCCCGTTATATACTCTTTTAGATGATTGGCTTTCTGAAACGAAATCCCATTTCGTGGATTAAAATCCACTAATAGCATTTCCGTTACCCTCCTCTGGGAACCAGGGTTACTTTACAGTTTTTCTCATTTGCCAAGATACACTCAGTGAAACTGGGATTCACTTGATCTTCATCATCACATTCTTAACACAGGAGAAGTCTTCTCTTTCAAATGCCTTAACACTTTTTCATTTGTTTCACACATTTCTCACACCCTTTGTCACCACAGATCTCATTGAAAGAAGAAAGTACTTGCATAATTATGAATATCCATTGCACCTGTGTGAAACTTGTTTGCACAACTCTTCAATTAGCAATCAATCCTCATCCTTCTACAAAAGATGCCACCTCTGCATTGCTATTTGCAAGCATGGATCAAAGAGGCCACAGGCATGGAAGGAGAGTAAGAGGCCATGGCAGAGGGGCCAGAGGAAGAGGAGCTTGTATACGTGGTATACACACTTTAGCCATGTAGCTTGCTAACTTTCTTAGATCTTATCATAGCGCACCTTCAGTACCATTTACCAAGACCATTTCACTTTCGACTTCTTCAGGGCCAGGTGTAGGCCAACCATGGTAGAATTAGAAAATAGAGAACATTTCAGCTATATCTGTTTAACCAAGTTGTGTAATTTAATCTTTTTGTAATTCATTTTTAACAGGTCAAACTAAAAAGAGAACAGAGCAGAGTCATGTTACCAAAAGTGAAGCCTCTGGAAAACTACTGTGTCGAAGTAGAGGTTTTGTATTTGAAGAATAAAACAAGCCAGCCCAGCAACATGACCTGTTTAAAAAATTCGCCCAGCAGTAAGTATTCCACTATATAAAGTCTGTATTCTCTTTTTTTTTCCAAATTAATTTACTGAATGTTTATTATGATGATGCTTTAATCCTTTTTCTTTTGTTTTTAATATTTAACATAAAATACTGATTTGTATGTTTTTTTTAGATGAGACAGAACCCTGGCTTATAGCTGTGATGCTTTTGATCAGTTTTCTAGTGGTGTTAGTTGCGGTTCTCCTGATCTTTATGGCTGTGTGGTACAGTTACAAAGGATACAGAATTGTATTCCCTAATGATAATCTGCCAGAGCATCTAAAACAGGTAGCAAAATTATAAAAGGCAACTGACTTACTGTTAATCTGTTACTGACTTTTTTCTCTTGCTGTCTTCTCTTAAAGTATTTGGCACAACGGTCCCAGTCACCTGCACCTTTACCCATACATGAGGGAACTCACCTGAAGGAGCCCATTCATGAGTTAATGATATATGAAAAGAAACTTAACAGCTCTCAGGACAATCAGCAAATAATATAACAATTATCGTTTCAGACAAATAGGAGGATTGTATTTGAGGTAATGTAAATAAATGTAATGATAAATGTAATAAAGAGAAACTTTTTTTTTTTTTTTACACAACAGAAGTTTTGCTTACCATAATCATATTACAGTTTTTAAAATTGCTAGCATACATTTGCCCAATCTGTAGCCACATTTTCAAAACACTAAGTGAAGTTTAATAAACTAATTTCAAGAGGAGCACGTGATATGCACCGCTGGCCACTCATCCGTAATCAGTAAAAATCCAATCAGAATGATCCTAGCTTAATATAAAAGGATCACTTTCTCCTTATTGCTCTATATTCGTTTTGGAAGAATCCCCCCTTCCACCACATCTCCTCCTTTTTTCTCCTCTTTTAAAGGGGGAGTGATCAAGACCTACCTGATCTCGGTTCTCCTGATATGCTTCTAGACCGGGCGGGAGCCCTGGGCTCAAATATCTCCGAGCTCAGGGTTCTCTCCCGGGACAGCATGCCAAACCTGCTATAAGTGCCAAGCATATCTAAGTGGAAACGCTTGAAACACAATTAGCACAACATTAGTATATTGTGACCATACCATTACAGTTTTTCTCACTTGATTAAACACATGTCTTGAAACTATGCCTCATATTCTCAAAATAGTAAACACAAAGCCATAATGTATAACCAAATTTCCCAAACATCCTATTTAAGGTCAAAATTAAGCTCTTTCCAAACCATTCACTCTTGCTGAAAACCCAAACTCAAAAAACACACACTTACACACTGGTGCAATAAAATAAAAACATTTCCAAAACTGGCAAGTTATGTTTTTACATGATGAACACAAAAGACAAAAACAATTTGTATGTACTGGTTTATTATTTATTTAAGGACTATAAAGTACAAAACACAAACACACTTTTTTAATTTAACCATTCAATTCACAACCATTATAAAACCATTCAATTCTTCCATGCTAAGAATACATTTTGCACTGAAAAAAAAAAAATTATGGTACACAAACAAACAAAAAACACTGAAATCTGGGTCGTGATTCAGGATATTATTTTATTATTATTAGTCAGATTTTTTGTCTGTAACACATCGAATTATTGGCCAAAACCATGTTTATGATAGCTTTCTTGGTCATCTGCGACTAAAGGGCCCCTTACCTGGAAAGCACACAAGTTTCAAACATGGAATACAGTGAACACCAAAAACTGGGTTTAACCAAACACTGGCTATGTTTAATCAGTTGGTTCATGTGCATGTTCATTTGAAAGCATTTGCTTTAAACTTGTGAGGAAATGACATGATAAATATCTGTCTAATGCATAAAAGTGTTTAGTGTTTTTCAAATCAATGTGTGATGTTCTGCAAAAAGTGTGAAGCTGACAATGCGCTTACAGTTGTGCAAATCTCTTTGCTCCTTGAGTGTTAAGGTTTTGTAAAATTGTGGGAACTTTAATGTGTAAACAATTGGAAAACATCTGTAACTCTGCTAGGCAGGCTTCTTCAGTGGCATAAATACATAAATTTGTCTTCCACTGACATAAATTTCTCTGTCATACACTTTCCACTGCCATGCCAAAAAAACTCCTCTATCAGGTTTATTAAGGGAGAGAATGAAGGCAGAAAAACTTGGGTGTAGGACATGCTCAAATAAGGGACTGGAATTTAAACTAAGACTGCAGGTCTCCTTGCCTTTGTTCTTCCATGTCCTTGTCATCACCTTCTCCTCTTCCTCTTTCATCACTTCCTCTTCTTCATCTTCTTCTTCTTTTTCTTCTTCTCCCCCTCCACTACATTGTCCTTGACATCTCTAATGTCTCTTTGGATCCTATAGCTGCGTCTCAAATGACACACTATACACTATGCACAATATACTTATGCACTTACACACTCAACAGCATAGTACATGTATGTAGTGTTGTCCCAAATGGAGCACTAATGTTTTTTTTACTAAGCGGAAATTCAACCCATTTCCCTGATGACGTTTGACGGTTGCCAAATCAGTAAAATAAAAGACTAAATTATCAAATAATACCTGCCCTAAGTATAACCACATTCACCATCAGGAGGCACTATAATCACTGTTTGTAGGAGAATTTTGCTTTCACAATCCAAAATAAATAAAGTTATCCAACATGTGCGCCCGATTCCTCTGCCTCTTTTGCTATGACATTGATGACATGCGTCACAGACACGCTACTGTCCGTGCTTAGCAGTTCGCTCTATCGCAGTCTCGCAGAAAGTTTTAAGCTACAAAATGGGAGCCCTGAGTAAAGATGTGTATGAACAAGCTTCCACAAGTAAGAATGCAGACGAATTGGTTGATGAGAGAGAAAGACTAATGCAATGGTTTAAAAGTGGTTCGGCTTTTTAAGTTCCGATAAACTTATAGTTCCAGTGCTCTGCAAAATGTGAATGCCGACTAGCATCGGGAACCCATCAAATCTGTTCTACCCGATAGAACAGTGGTCAGGAACCTATGGCAAAACCCACCATGCAGCTTTTGCGGCAAAGTACAAGCTGAGCGAAAGTTGAAAGAAGGCATGAGGAGCTTCAGCAAAAAAATGCAAACCTTTCACAAATGGTGAATAAGTCGTGTATGTTAAGTACGCCAAATAAACTGTTTGCGCCAGTGCTGGATCTTGCTGCGGGAAATGTCAGATTTTCGTGTTTTGCGTAACTTGTGCGTGGTGAATACCTGCATGTTTGTTTATGTGAGAGAGAGACTGTGAATGAGTCCGAGTGAAAAACAGCTAGCAAATGTCAAAAATCAAAAACCCGGCGAAATGCAAAAAAAATAAAAAAAACGCCCAATCTGGCAATAATGGTGGAATGCATTGTGTACGTGTGTTTATTTAGAGAATTTAGAGAAGAAACAGGAAAAAATGAAGCAGTTATTTGATCGTAATTCTGAAGTCCGTGAGTTTTCTCCTGGGGATCAGGTGCTTGCGCTGTTGCCTTTGCCTGCTTCACCTTTCCGAGCCAAATTTTCAGGCCCTTATATAGTTACTCGCCGCATATCCGAGTTAAATTATTTTATTTCAACCCCAGATCGAAAGAAAAGTGAGCAGTTGTGCCACGTAAATTTGTTGAAACCATATTATTCCCGTGATCAGACTGATTGTAAAACATCTGCTGTGTTAACGGTTTCTCAGACAGATGAAATTGTACCGGAGATGGAGGAAGATGAGGCTCCAACTGATTGTGTGCTGCAACCGAGGTTTTCCAATACAGAGACGCTTCTTAATTTAGAGAATTTAATGCGCCATCTAACTATTTCTCAGAAGGGAGAATTAATAAAGCTGATACACGAATTTCCAGAGTTGTTTGGCGATGTTCCATCTCGCACCCATTTGATCGAACATGATGTGGATGTTGGTGACGCAACACCTGTTCGTCAGCGTTTTTACCGAGCGCCACGGGTAAAGCAACAGGCGTTAGAGGCTGAAGTTCAGTATTTGCTTGATAATAACTTGGCAAAACCATCTTGTTCTAGTTGGGCTTCACCTTGTTTATTGGTAAAAAAATCTGATAATTCATACCGATTTTGTACAGATTATCGAAAGATAAATAAGATCACTAAACACTTCCACTTCCCAGAGTCGAAGAATGCGTGGATCAAGTAGGGGCTGCTAAATTCGTAAGTAAATTCGACCTGTTAAAGGGTTATTATCAAATTCCATTAACACCTCGAGCGCAAGAGATCACTGCGATTGTGACTTCTTCCGGATTATATTCCTATTCTGTAATGAGCTCCGGATTGCGAAACGCTCCGGCAACGTTTCAAAGATCAATGAATCGGGTTGTGTCAGGACTTTCGGGTTGTGCAGTCTATTTAAACAACGTAGTTGTTTGTAGTGATACATGGGAACAACATCTGGAGCGTGTTCGTGCTTTATTTTTGCGGTTATTGGAGGCGAAACTCACAATAAATTTGGCAAAGTGCGAGTTTGCCAAGGCTACTGTGTTCTATTTGAGAAGGGAAGTCGGACATGGTTACGTGCGTCCCTTGAAAGAGAAGGTGCGGGCAATTGAGGGGTTCCCCGTCCTATCTACAAAAAAGGATTTAATGCGTTTTTTGGGAATGGCGGGCTATTATCGAGGGTTTTGCCCAAATTTTTCTTCTGTAGTAGCCCCATTAACAAATCTTTTAAAAGAGTCTGTTCCATTCGTTTGGTCCTCTGGTTGCCAGCAAGCATTTAACAATGCTAAACTTCTGCTTTCCTCAAATCCAGTTCTTGTTGCACCGCAGTTTGACAAGCCATTTATGATTCAGGTGGATGCGAGTCAGATTGGGGCAGGTGCAGTTCTTTTGCAAACTGGGTTGGATGGTGTGGACCACCCAGTTTGTTATTTCTCAAGGAAATTTAACTCCTATCAGGTAAACTACTCTGTTATTGAGAGAGACACTTGCTTTAATATGGGCACTCCAATATTTTGAAGTTTATGTGGGAGGTGGTTCTCAAGTTGTTGTTTTTTCAGATCATAATCCGTTAATTTTTCTCCATACACTGAAAAGTCCCAGTCAGAGATTGATGCGGTGGGTTTTGTTTTTACAACCCTATAATTTGTTAATTAAACACATAAGGGGTACGGACAATGTGTTTTCTGACTGTTTGTCTCGAGCTCATTCTGAGTGATGTGACTGAGTGGGTAAGTTGTTTGGTAGTCTTGTTGTGTCTCTTCTTTTTCTTAAATGCTTTTAGGATCCGGTTTGCTGGAGGAGAGGAGATGGGGCAGGAGTATGCCAAACTGTAGCTTTAATTTACCGTTTCATCCTTAGAAAATTTAAGCAGTACTAATGTTTAAAGTTTAGAGAGAACAAAATAGGGAAAAAATAGTATAAAAATTGAAGAGAAATTATTGGTATTTGTGGCATTTATATATTTTTTCTTTTTTTAGGGGGGGAGATGTTAGGTCACATGTGGGACCTGTTTGTATGTGTGTTTGTTATTTGCAGATTCTGCGTGATTGCAGATTGGTGGGTGGGTCATCCCACCTGAGACTCATTGTGTGGGGTTTATAAGGAGTTCGTCATTCTGTCTGGGAGAGCTTGATTAGCCGGACGTCTCTGCTCAGCGCTATTGATTTGTTTTAGTTTGTGTTTGGATCATGAGCTCAGTACACTTCCATACACATGCTTTTCACTACTGACTTTCACCTATACTGACTTTGATTGCTTTAAATACTTTTGTTAATTATACGTTTTGATAATAAATCATTTCTCTTTTCAATTTACCTGGTCCGTATTGTCTCTCTGATGTTGCAACTTTGAGCCGGTTGTAACAATATATATATATATAAACTTGATTCTTGCATAGACCCAAATTAACACTAACACACATAAACTTGCTGCATGCTGGTATAGCACTTGAGCAGACTTACAAAATAAAATTCACAAAAATATTTATCAGGAATCTGGTTATTGCAAAGCTGTTTAAATAGAATGAATGTGATTAATAGAGATAATAAGTCTGTTAAATAATGAAAGTATGTTATATAAAATAATATAAAATATTAGCCTATATAAATAGACTATATAAAATATATAAGAACTATCTTATGTTAAACCTTTTCATTTAATTAGGTGATTTCATACACAAATATAAATAGACAGAAATAACCCTTAAAGGATGTTCAAGTTAAAAAGCAAACAGAACTATGAATATACTCATCTGTTTGTAAAGGCTTAATACAAATAAAAAGTGAACATTCTTTTTTT